TAAGAGGTGGAAGAGATGAGATCTGAACACAGGACTCCCTGAGCCTAAAGTTGAGCACCTCTAACAACACTTCATTCCTGTGAGCCTGCCTGCCTTGATCTGCCACTGACAGGAGCTCTCTGGGAAGACACTATTAATACCTTTCCCTGTGGACAGCCACCCACACAGGCAGGAGCCTTTCAATACTGAAAATAAATGAAAACAGTTAACTTAAACATAACGCAGTACACAGATTTCACAAATTCCTCACGTTCAAAACTATTCATGACACTGGACTACCTGAGCCCTGCGCCCAGCCATAGCCTCGGTCCGGATTCCTGGGAGAGACTGAGTCTCAAACGGACCAGAGTAAACGCTATCTCGACACCGGTCGCGCCCTGACCCCCAGGCACAGGCGGAGCCCTGACAGGTCGCAGAGGGAGCCCTCGGGACAGTCCTGAAAAGCGTCCCCTTCGGTTGTCCCTTCGCAGCTGAATCAGGTTGTGACCTCTGCCGCCGTGAAGGCCCTGACTGCCCCCTTCCGGGCGCACGGGCTCACTCACAGACCCCAGCCCCATTTAGCTCAGAGGAATACCTCGCTGTCTCTTTTACCTTCGCCGCCTCCAGCCGGGGAGCGGTTGCGCGCACCCCTACCTGCAGATCGCTCCTCCGAGAACGCGGAAGAGGCGGTGCTAGACCCAGGGGGTGGGCCCAACCAGACAGGGGCGTGAGAGGGCGGAGCTGCGCCTGCGCCCTGATGGCTACCCAGGGGCTGGGGGGCGGATTGACAGGCGGTTCAAACTGAGCAAACTGCGCAGGCGTGAGAGGTGAGAGGCGGGAAGAGGGAAGATTGCCGGCAGCGGGGTGGGGCTTAGCTCCTCCAATGTTTTCTTTTCCTAATGGAGGTCTAGAAGCCAGGGAAGGGAGGAGGCCGGGCGCGGCATGTGTAATTAACTTGTACTGTGGGGGCCGGGCGTGGTGGCTCAAGCCTGTAATCCCAGCACTTTGGGAGGCCGAGGCGGGTGGATCACGAGGTCAAGAGATCGAGACCATCCTGGTCAACATGGTGAAACCCCGTCTCTACTAAAAATACAAAAAAATTAGCTGGGCATGGTGGCGCGTGCCTGTAATCCCAGCTACTCAGGAGGCTGAGGCAGGAGAATTGCCTGAACCCAGGAGGTGGAGGTTGCGGTGAGCCGAGATCGTGCCATTGCACCCCAGCCTGGGTAACGAGAGCGAAACTCTTGTACTGGGAGCTTCTGCAGGCCCGGAAGGATTTTTTTTTTTTTTTTTTTTTTTTTTTTTTTGGACGGAGGTTTGTTCTGTCGCCCAGGCTGGAGTGCAATGGCGCAATCTCAGCTCACTGTAACCTCCACCTCATGGGTTCAAGCGATTCTTCTGCCTCAGCCTCCCGAGTAGCTGGGATTACAGGTGCCCGCCACCATGCCCGCCTAATTTTTGTACTTTTTAGTAGGGTTGGGTTTTCACCATTTTGGTCAGGCTGGTCTCGAACTCCTGACCTCGTGATTCTTCTGCCTTGGCCTCCCAAAGTGCCGGGATTACAGGCATGAGCCACCGTGCCCGGTCCAGGAAGGGATTTTTAAATGCTAAGTGGGGAAATGCTGCTTGTCTTTTCTAAAACGGGGGCTAATTCTGTAAAATTTCTTTGAAGGTCTGAGTGCCTAGAATTTCACCGTAAGAGTTTCTTTTTGAGTACATTACTCCCAGTAGTTCAAAATCTTTTTTTTTTTTTTTTTGAGACAGAGTTTCACTCTTGTTACCCAGGCTGAAGTGCAATGGCGCGATCTCGGCTCACCACAACCTCCGCCTCCTAGGTTCAGGCAATTCTCCTGCCTCAGCCTCCTGAGTAGCTGGGATTACAGGCACGCGCCACCATGCCCAGCTAATTTTTTGTATTTTTAGTAGAGACGGGGTTTCACCATGTTGACCAGGATGGTCTCGATCACTTGACCTCGTGATCCACCCGCCTTGGCCTCCCAAAGTGCTGGGATTACAGGCTTGAGCCACCGCGCCCGGCCCAAAATCTTTAAAACTTTAAAAAATTCATTTCTTGGGGGAAAAACAACCAGCCTCCACACATCTCCTTCCCAAAGCTGCAGCTGCGATGAGAAAGGATGAGAGCGTGGACTGGGATTTAATTCAGGGGCTGACTGTGAGTTTCCTTCTTTGTAAGATGGAGTAAACATCCCTTCCCTGCCTGTCTCAGGATTATCGTGAGGGTTTGGTAAGCAAAACTAGTTGAAGAGCCTCAGGGACTTGCTTCCCATCATTCACTTGACAAACATTTGTTCCCTGTCCTGTCTTTTCATCTGTATGATGGAAGGAGATTGGGAATATTAGTGAACATTCAGGACTTTGTTAGATTTCCCAATCTGGTTGAAGGCTGGAGAGGGGGGAGACCAAGCTTCTGTGTTCATTCCCTTCTGGAATCCTGTGGTCCAACCTAAGGGCCCCTATGTATCCTGACTTTTCCCACTTATCACCTTCCGTGGAGGCCTACCCAAGCTTCAAGTCTTCAGAGGTCCTGCTGGCCTGTTCCCTTCCCTGTTCCCTATCTCAATAGCTCAGGAGACTCAGGACCTTTGTTGCAGGTTGTCAATCAAAGTTGCTATGTCCTTCGCATGGCAACCAAGTTCAGTTAACATCTTTGAGGGCTCTCCTAAAGCAGGTGGGGCTCTAGTCATGCTTGTGGCTCATTTTTCACCATACATGTCACAGCTCGCTGTGGGGTAGGGAGGAGAGTGGCAACAGGAAGCCTCAGAGGCCGCACTGTTTATGGGAGCCGAGGGTGATGCGGCATCCTTTACTCAATAGGTGGATGCTCTGCCCCAGGCTGGAGAGGGTGGCTTAATACCTAGGTCCCTGCTCCAAATATTGTTATGGATTTTTTTGGCGGCGGGGATCTCACTGTGCTCCCCAGGCTGGAGTACAGTGTCACCATCTTTGCTCACTGCGACCTCTGCCTTGGGCTCAAGTGATCCTCCTGCCTCAGCCTCCTGAGTAGCTGGGACTATAGGCATGCACTACCATGCCCAGCTAATTTTTACATTTTTTGTAGAGGTGGGGTTTTGCCATATTGCCCAAGCTGGTCTCAGAAAACTCCTGAGCTCAATGATTCTCCCACCTCCGCGTCCCAAAGTGCTGGGATAACAGGCATGAGCCACCATGCTCAGCTTTGTTATCGATCTTGAGCCAACAGGAAAACAAAGCCCCACCTGACTTCCCAACCAAGCTGCCACTCTACCTCCCAATATGTTACCTCTCCCAGGACCCTTTGTTACTAGGTTTTGCCCCATGGGAGTGTGCTCTTTTCTCTGCATTGTTGAGGCCTCATCTCTTTCTTTTCCCCTCTCTTCCTCTCTATTCTTTAAGCATCCTTCTGTGAATCTCTCAAAGCAATTTTGTGTCAGCTTTGTGATGTATTTACAGATATTCCCATGTAAGGTGCAGGTCTTGGGTCACACATTTCTAAGATAAATCTACTTTCACTGCCATGGTCATATTTCAAAATGACTGTGAACCCAAAGCATGGGTCTTATAACAGTCTGAGCTGTCCAATGACTGTGGAGGTAGCGAGCGACTTGTCATAGGAGGTGTGCAAATAGCACCCTTTTAGAATGCTGGACTTGGGCCTCCTGTGGTGAGCTAGAAGGAGCAGCAGAATAGAGGGCCTTCCAGACTAGAGGATTGGATGAAGGGAGGGATCTTAGGGGCTGGAAGGGAAGCAAGGCAGCTGGCCAAAGACACACTTGATTCAACAAGCTATTATATATATCAAGCACTTAGAAATGTACCTGACACATAAAGAACATTAGCTATTATGATGATTGTGAATGACTCAGACTATAATGAAGGAGCTGAGATCAATCAGTCCTTCATTTCTATCACTGATAACAAAATAGATGGGGAATTGGGGTCTAGAGGGGTAATGGGCTTGCAATGGAATTCAAGAGCTGGGCTGGGACTACAGCCTATGCCTCTGTCTCCCAGGAGAGCCTCTGCAAAAAACCAGGCTGGCTCCTTTGCAGGAAGAGGGAAGAGCTCTAAGTGGGCCTTTGTTGACTCTTAAGAACCAAGCTGCTTTTTAATTCCTGTCCAGGCAGATTGTGGGTTAGGGGTTAGTGGAATGACAGCAAGACCTGAGTCAATAGATGCAGGTGTCTACTGGGGAGTAAGCTCAAGAGTCAGGCCCATGTCCTGCCACCCCCACTGTAGCTCCAGCCAGCAACAAGTATCTTCCTGTAATTAGGAGGATGGCCTCCTCTCCTGTAATTAGTATTTCCACTCTGTCCTTTTATCCACCGTATTTATCTGTATTTCCACTCTGTCCTTTTACCCACTAGCTCAAAAAAACCACCTAGATTAAGGGGGTGGAGTAAGAGTAGCCAATGCCAGGCAACCTGAGATGAAACAAGAAATGATTCCTGGGCCGGGCGTGGTGGCTCACGCCTGTAATCCCAGCACTTTGGGAGGCCGAGGTGGGTGGATCACGAGGTCAAGAGATCGAGACCATCCTGGTCAACATGGTGAAACCCCGTCTCTACTAAAAACACAAAAAATCAGCTGGGCATGGTGGTGCATGCCTGTAATCCCAGCTACTCAGGAGGCTGAGGCAGGAGAATTGCCTGAACCCAGGAGGCGGAGGTTGCGGTGAGCCGAGATCGCGCCATTGCACTCCAGCCTGGGCAACAAGAGCGAAACTCCGTCTCAAAAAAAAAAAGAAATGATTCCTCTCAGACTGACTTCCCGGAAGGCAAGGGCCAGCCTTCTCCACCCCAAGCATCCTAGCCTAGCCTGGTCTAGAATTCCCAGAGCCCCAGGAGAATCTTGGTGTCCCCACCCTGGAGAGCTAGGCCAGACATGACCACACCAGCCAGCCCTCCACATGGTCCAGAATCTCAGGACAAAAACCCATCCCAGCCCCATTCTGGCTCAGTTCTTTCCATGGTCTGTCTGCCAACAGACATGTGGCACCCAGACCACCACTTCCTACCAGTTGCTGCTTTAGTTTGCCTTTTATTTTATGAAAAATAACAACAATAAAGTTTTCCCTGTGTTTCATAAAAATAAATTTTCCTACCCTCCCCCAACCCAGAAATCAGCCCTTGCCATAGCCTAGAATTCATCTGGCAAGCCACAGCACTCTGGGGAAAGCTCCTACTACCCTCGCTCCACAGCCTCTGGCGAAGCTGCCAGGCCACTCTGGAGGTGGCAGAGGCAGAAGTCTCAGGCCCAGCTGGCTGGCCCCAAGAGCTCTGTCTGTTTCCCCAAAGTGCAGGCAGCCTCTAGGCCACTGAGAGGGGCATGATATTGGATGCTTGGCTCAGGAAACAACCCCAGCCAACCCAAGGGGCAGTGGGGCATGTTGGCATCAGGTTAGAAATTATTGCTCAAAGCAGGAACAGTTGTGTCCTGAAGAGGGCCTGTTAAACCCTCTTTCCAGGTGTATCTCTGTGTAGCAATTGACAGGCCCTGGGGCAGGATCTCTGGTTTCTCCAGCTCCATGAACGCCTCCCTGGAAGGCCTTGGACAGTTTCTCCCTCCTCTTCTCCTGGCTTCAGATTCCTCCTGTGTACACCGAGACTGGATGATTCCCAGGTCCCTTCTGGCTTTCCATTCTGGCCTCCCAGAGTGGACGCTCTGGGAGGGCAGAAGCCTGTTCCTGCCTCAGTTTCCCCACCTGTGGGTCTGAACATAGGGTTGTGTATGAAGGTAAGGAGTAATGGAGTGCTGAATGAACATCCCAGTCTCCCTGTGTATAGCTGTGCTCTGAGATCCAGCTGGCTGGAATGCCTCAGGGATGGCTGGGAAGGAGGCAGGTACTTTTAGGACGGAGGATCTCCATGCCTGGAAGAGTCCATTCACCACCTACATCTTCGATGTCCTGGGATGGAATACAAGACTCCAGAGTTCCCAATTCAAGTTCCACAAGTTCCTTGGACTAGATGATTAATTTCTGCTGGGCTTCAGATCTGAGGAGCCAGGTCTGTAGATTCTGGGAGCTAGACTGGAGTGTATGATTCCCAGCTGAAGGATCAGGGGACCTTTGTGTACTTGAGGGATCATCTCCAACCCCCAAAAGGCTACCTAGAATACAGGCCTTCTTGGAGGCAGAGGGATGAGTAAAATGGCAGCTCGTGGGCCATCTCTGGGTGAGAAAATCAGAGCCTGTGTCTGCAGTGGGTCAGGGTTTAGAAACTCAAGGCAAGGCTCCGCTTCCTACCTGCCCTAGCTCGCCAGGACTCATGCTGATGGAAGAGTGTAGCCTGGAAGGTCTGAATGCAGAGCAACATCCACAACCACATTTTGTGCACTTACACACATGGTCAGATACACTGAGTGGGGACACTGACCTGTCATCACTCCTACAGTGGTCATGGTCTGATGGTCTCATGGTCTGATGGTCTCAATCTATTTAGCCATCCAGCTAACATTTATGGAAGGCCTACTACGTGCCAAGGAGGGGTAAGGCAGCTAGCTCTCACAGACACACCCCACAGTGAAAATCACGCACACGCACACCCTGGCATCTGTGCTCACTCACATGCAGACTGCTCTCTCTCTTGCATCTTTCTTGTCATCACCTCAGCCACACCCACATTCTTCCAATAAGCTTAGGAACCAGCATGGAAGGGTCAAGTGTCAGAGAAGAAACGCCCTAGCCTACCCTACTCCCAGACGTCATGCCAGAGGTTTAACTCCACTTCCCTTCTGTTTGCCTGCCTATATGCTCTCCCCTTCTCCACCCACAAGAGGCCAGGGTGACAGGTAGGCAGACTCCTGAGAACCAGAAGTCCAGAGGCTTTCGGTGTGTGGAGAGGTTCCAGTGCCTTCAGATTCCTTCAGGCTCCTGGGGGTCCCCTCTGCCAGCCACCCTGTGTTCAGATCGTCCATCTGATGGCCAGTGAATCCAGGCCTGGGCTCAGTGGCAGATCCGCTCTGTCATCTCCCTCTGTAGAGACACAAGGTAGGGAGGGGTCAGTCAGAGCTCAGCCTACTAGGCAATCACTTCCCAAACCATAGGGCCTAGCTGCTCTTCTGTCTGAGCCTGGCTCCTTCCCCCAGCAACCCCAACTTTTAGGCTGCAGATTTGGGTTTGTAAACCAACACTTGAATGAATTCTCTACTGAAGTACAGAATTCACTGTTAAATAAAATGCCTTCCCCTAATTTATCTACTTGGGCATTGGAGTTACTTAAATAGGCAGCTTTTGGATGTGAAAACTCAGGCTAGCCTTGTAGGGGAGGGTGGTAGGGCTTGGCCTCACCAGGGGCTCCAGCTCCCGCTGGTCCACCAGACTGAACTCGCGGATGAAGTAGTAGAAGTGCTTGTAGCAGGTGTTGACGTGCGCCTCTGCCCCCATGCTGAGGATGCTATCAAAGTGGTGGATGTAGACGTGGACAAAGACTCGGAAGAGGCGGGTCAGGATCTTGGTGCAGACCTGCTGGAAGTTCTTGGGGAAGGGAACACCTAGAGGGCAGGGGAGGGCAGAAGAAGGGGATCAGCATTCTGGTGCCAAAGCTCTGCCCAACTTTTCCCTCACACACACAGGCAACCAGGATAGCTGTTTCCCCAGCACACTTCTTAGTACACTTTGCTTTAGGAAATAAGAGTGGTTTAACTTCCCATACTTTTCTTTCTTTCCTTCTTCTCTTCTCTTTTTTTGAGATGGAATTTCACTCTTGCCCAGGCTGGAGTGCAATGGCGAGATCTTGGCTCACTGCAACCTCGCTTCCCAGGTTCAAGTGATTCTCCTGCCTCAGCCCCTGAAGTAACTGAAATTATAGCATATGCCACCATGCCTGGATAATTTTGTATTTTTACTAGAGACAAGGTTTCTCCATGTTGGTCAGGCTGGTCTTGAACTCCTGACCTGAGGTAATCCACCTGTCTCAGCCTCCCAAATGCTGGGATTAGAGGCATGAGCCACCATGCTGGGCCATACTTTTCTTTTTAATGAAGCACAGATCTCACTGGCTCTCACCTGCTGACATATATATCATCTTCCACATTTTCCCATCACCTAAAGCAGGGCTTTGCAAACTTGTGCGGGTCACTGACCAACCCTTCTTAGACTATGATAAAAGTTACGATCTAAACTGTCCCCAGAAATATGTGCAACTGCAGAGATGCTGACATCACACTTTTGTATCCAACTCCAAGGAGGGTTCAACATCTGGATCCATTTTTAAAAAGCCTGAGCCTTCAGGATTAAGTCCTAACTTCCCAGCATGATGCTGCTCAAGGCCTTTCATGATCTTATCCTGACCTCCCTCTCTAGCCCCACCCCATGTCCCTCCTCTTTTCAACATTCATACAGAAGTCCTCAGACCCACAATCCTGGAAATTATGAATTCTGCAATAATTAGTTCTGACAGCCTTCATTTCTTCAAATAACAGGAAGAACCTTTCATCTATGAGCCAGGCCCTGTGCTGAGCTCTTCACACCTTTTGCCTCCAATGCTTAGAACAATTTGGCTGATGTATCTGATTACCATTCTAGATATGATAAAACAGAGGTGCATCAAGGTGAAGCTGCTCGCTCAAGGCCACATAACTATTAATCAGTGCAGACTGGAAACAGGATTGAAACCCTCTTTGTCTTTGCACTGCACTGTAGCACCCCTCACAGGTATTGGGACCCATGAAAAAGGACCTGTTTCTGCATAGTCCCCCATTGCCACCTTGAGGTGGCAATCTTTGTGGCTTATGCCTTCTTCTCTGTGTGGCAGAGTCACCCAGGGTTTTACGCATCTACACCTGGAGTCCTACAGGCCCAGGGAGGTATGGCCAGGGAATAAGAGTCTACATTCAGGTCCACAGCTGGCCCACCTGGCTCCATAGACCCCCCTCCTCTTCCTCATTGCTCCCAGGTGGGGGTCGAGCCTTCCCTCCCTCGTAGCCCCTCCAGCCTAGCCCAGATTCTTCAGACATATCCTGCCCATCTAGGCTTGGGGTCCTGGGCTCCCACAGACCTAAGCCCAGTTCTGAATTCCTCCCAATTCAGTGCATGGTCTTGATCTCCTGACCTCATGATCTTCACGTAACCTCAGTTACCTCCAATGTCTTTGTTGGGCATGATAGTGCAGGAAAGAGCAGGCCACTGGCTGGGGAGGAGCCGTGGGCATTGAATTGTGACTCAGTGCCCAGCTTCCTTCACCATTCAGACTTCTCTCCTCAGGACTTGACCACCCTGCCCCACCCACCAATCCTCCACACAGCCTCGGCAATGATGAGCTCCAGGCCAGGTGAGGGCTGGGCTCAGTAGCAGGTGGGGCTGGTGTGATGAACACAGTGTCATGCCTGCTCAGCTCCTGGACCAACACCCCCTCCTGCTGCCCTCGGGTGGGTAAGCAGTGCCTGGATGGCATTACTCATCTCCCATCACACCCTCACCTGCCCAGGCTCCCCAGCTGAGATAAGAAAAGGTCCCGTAGCCTGTGCCTGACAAGGGAAAATGCTGCCCTCGGAGCCCCAATCTGAGGTGATGATACCATCAGGGTCCCCCAACCCCCAACTCCCTCCTTTTCCTGAGGCCAGGAGTCAGAGGGAACCTCAGGAGGCTGGAGGTCAGATCAGATATGAACACCTTGGGGCTCTTGTTCTGAAGGTTCTGAGAATCATAGCATCTGTGGTCTTGAGCCAGAGTGGTCTATGGTGGGACCACTTATGTTTTAGAAAAGAAAAGCTCTCTGAGGCAGGTGGATCACCTGAGGTCAGGAATTTGAGACCAGCCTGGCCAACATGGCGAAAACCTGTCTCTACTAAACATCCAAAAATTTGCCAGGTGTGGTGGCCAGTGCCACTCAGAAGGCTAAGGCAAGAAAATCGCTTGAACACGGCGGTGGGTCGGTGGGGGAAGCGGGCAGAGGTTGCAGTGAGCTGAGATCACACCACTGGCTGAAAGAGCCAAACTCCATCTCAGAAAAGAAAAAAAAAAAGAAAAGCCCCAAATTGGGAGTCAGGAAGTCCTAGTCAAATGTTTGACTTTGAGCAAGACACTTAACCTGTTTCAACCTCCGTTTCCTCTTCTACAAAATGGGATGAAAATCACCCCCTCAGGCAGGGCGTGGTGGCTCATGCCTGTAATCCCAGCACTTTGGGAGGCAAGGAGGGCGTGGATCACCTGAGGTTGGGAGTTCAAGACCAGCCTGACCAACATGGAGAAACCCTGTCTGTCTCTACTAAAAATACAAAGTTAGCTGGGCGTCGTGGTGCATGCCTATAATCCCAGCTACTTGGGAGGCTGAGGCAGGAGGATTGCTTGAACCCGGGAGGCGGAGGTTGCAGCCAGCTGAGATCTTGCCTTTGCACGGCACCCTGGGCAACAAGAGGGAAACTCCCTCTCAAAAAAAAAAAAAAAAGAAAGAAAGAAAATCACCCCCTAACTCTGCACAGAGTGGCTATATCAAACTAAATGCCTCATCTGAGAAATGGGCTGCCAGTGGCTCCCTCCCCGCCAGGTGAGGCTCACCAACACGCGTGGGAAAGACCTCCTCGTCGTTGATGAGACCTTCGATCCAGTCCATGAGCAATGCCATATAGCGCGGTGCGGAGAGCTTGGCCGGCCGCCTGTACTGGCGCTCGTCCTGCCAGCGGTACTCGTAGCGGGGCCCGCCGGCCATGACCGGGCAGCTGGTCTCGCTGCAGCGCTCGGCCATGGTGCCATAGATGAGGTTGATGCGGTTGAAGAAGTCCACCACGTGCACGGCGATCCAGTCGTCGATGTTCTCCCCGGGCGGCAGCCTCACCACACTTCGCAGGTCCAGGCCTGACTTGAGCGAGGCCTGTGCCTTCTTGTACAACTCAAAGCGTTGTGTGCCGGGCTCAAAGCGCTTCCGCGGCCGGAACGTCTTGTCCTTGGCGAACACCTGCTTCAGGCACAGGGCCATGGCCAGCTGGGCCTGGGGCTGGTGTCCAGGGGCTTGGACCTGAAGATACCCTGCCAAGGACAAGAGCATGGGGGAGCTGGCAGTCAGGGCCTTATCAACTGGGCTCTGACTTCCCAATTCATCATTTCTCTGGCACCTCTCAGCCTTTGCTCAACCACTGCATCCTCTGCCTGGAATCTAAGTCCTCAGCCCCTAGGTCCAGTGCCCCGCCCTCTTTCCAGGCTACCTTAGTTGCCCTTGCTAATCCCCCACAGCCCTCCCATCTTGTTTGTTTCTTTTCTGCTTTCATTGCATCTCACAAAGGGCTGGCTGGGACTTGAAACAGGTGCTCCTCAGACTTGCTGTTGGTCATGAAAGAGGTCACAGAGGCTCCCTGCAGGCCCACCAGCAGACAAGGGCCTGGATGAGATGACCTTTGGGAGCCCCTCCTGGCCAGCTGGTGCAGTGTGGGAGAGCCTCACAGCATTGTGACTGGGGGTGGAGGCGGGGGGCGGGGGTGGGCAGCCTTCGGTTTCCTGTGGGATATCCCGTAGTCCATCCGCTCACCGGGGATTCCCAGGGAGCAGCAGGGAACTTTTCTACCAAAAATGTCCTTTCCTTTTTTTTCACCCTGAAAGAGGAAAGAGCCCTCCAGCTGCCAGCTGGGCGGCTTCTGAGTGTGGCTGCAAGCACGGGAGGAGGGGGAGGGCAGCAGGCCTACAAGGGCACTGCTTCCTCTCACAACGGCTGGAGATCCTCCCCTCCAAGCCAGTCTCTTCCAGCCCCAAATCTAACAAGCCACTGGCTCCTCCCCTTGCACCTGACACTCAGTAGACATTCCTAGAGCAACTACTACGCGCCTGGCACAGGGAGGTAGGAGAGTATAGTCAGATCTACCCAGCGGGGCCCATCTAGAGCTCAGGCAAATTTGCTTTGCCTCCTAGAATTTAAGGATCCCAGATTCAGAACAGACTTTGGGAGACAGTGATCAGGGCCCTAGGCTCAGAGGCAGGAATCCTGGGTTCCAGTCCCAGCGCTATCACTGGCTTACCGGATGACCCCTGTTATCACCATGGATTTGGTCCACCCAAGTCCTGGGTCACTGCTATAGCTAGGTTTCTAAGCCTGAGTTATCTCATCTCACCTGTGAGTGTGTGAGCTACCGGGAAACGCAGACCCATGTACCTACCAAGACTAGAATTTAGCCACAAACTAAGCACTGCCCCTGCCCCCAGAATGAGCACTAAGGCTGAGTATAAGCTAAGAATTGCGTTCAGATTCCAGGCTGACCTCTGACACCTGAGCTGGGGCGAGTGTGATCACTTTAGCTCTACCCTGAGGCTTGCATATGGCCACAGACAAAGCCTGGCCTTGACCTCTGACTGATGCTGGAGCACTGTCCTTTCTCACATCTCTGGTAACTCTGGGACAGAACAGGGGAAGGGAGAGTGGGAACCAGGTGACAATTGTGTAAAACCAAAGGCATGACACATATTTCAGGGAGGGGTATAACTTCTGCTAACAAGTCAAAGTAGCTGGGCAGATGTTTGAAGCAAAGGTCCTTCCTTGAACCCACAAAGACAGGCCAGGATGGGGCACTCTAGTTAAATGAGAGCAGCTTGGAGCGTAGAAACAGGCCTTTCAGCAGGAACTTGCTCTTTTGAAAAAACCTCACAGATCTGAAAGGTCATCTCATCCATCCTGACTCTTCAACTTCTCACCCAAAGAAGTCTCCAGGGTGGGACCCCAGCTTCTAGAACAAAGAGATTTCTGCACTTCACTTGCCATCTCCATTTTAAACTCTGCTTGGGACAAATGATTCCAAAATCCCTCACACTGCAATTAGGTGGGGCTCCTCCCCGCATCGCATGGCCCCCTTTACAACAGTTAGAAACAGGCCCCCATTCTGGCATTCACCTTGTCCTACTTTTCCTGCCCCACTCCCACCTCCCACACTAACCACCCTGGGCTTCTTCCTGATTCCTGAACACATCCCCACTCTCTCGCCTCTGGATATTTTCTCTTTTTTTTTTTTGAGACGGAGTTTCGCTCTTGTTACCCAGGCTGGAGAGCAATGGCGCGATCTCGGCTCACCACAACCTCCGCCTCCTGGGTTCAGGCAATTCTCCTGCCTCAGCCTCCTGAGTAGTTGGGATTACAGGCACGCACCACCATGCCCAGCTAATTTTTTGTATTTTTAGTAGAGACGGGGTTTCACCATGTTGACCAGGATGGTCTCGATCTCTTGACCTCGTGATCCACCCGCCTTGGCCTCCCAAAGTGCTGGGATTACAGGCTTGAGCCACCGCGTCCGGCTGGATATTTTCTTATCCCTTCACCTGCCTGACCACACATCCTCAGATTGGCTGCTACCTCCTCCCACAGCCTCCTCCTGAACTCGGATCTCCTTCTCCTTGGGTAGAGGCTGCTTTTGTCATTGCAGTCTCCACTCCATCCCCACCCCCAGCTTAGGACAAGGTCTGCTGCAAAGTCAGTATTCAAGCTTTAAGGAAAGCTTAGACTCTGGAATCTTAGAGTTAAAAGAGTCCTGAGAGATCAACTGGCCCAAATCACTTGTACAGATGGGGAAACTGAGGCCCAGATGGGGAAACTGAGGCCTAAAAACAGGACTTGAGGAGCCTGTGTTCACATAGCAAGTTTCAAGCAGAACTGGTAACTGGGATAAGCTGGGGCTTGGCTCATGACCAAGAGTAAAAGGCCATTTTCCTGCACTGGCTGGTCAATGGTCTGGTGGAGACAGGAGGGGAGTGGAAGGGCAGTGGAAGCATCTTTTCCACCAAACGGCCAACCTGCTTCCTCCCCGCAATACGCTGACTCTGCACAGCAACTGGGGTGTCCTGACCAATGAGCTAGAGTCCCACCTCACTCCTGTGGAACTTTGTTTTTCCAGGAAAATGTAAGCTCAGGGGGTGAGTGCAGGGCAGGTGCTCTTCTAGCCACAGGCGTAACTTCTTTCAGTCCCACCCCCATGCCCTCACTGAGTTTCTGTCTGTGACAGAACGAACCCCTGTCTCCTCCCTAAGCCACCGCGGTTCCCCCCTACCCCCATTTCCCAGTGTTGGCTATCCTTTCACTCCTGTAGTGGCAGTGGCTTGTTCATTCCCTGGGTGGCATCTGGGCTTCTCAAATGAAGACAGCAGGGTGACCCTGTCTGTTTCTGACCTTTAGCCCTCTGCCAGGCTACATCTACCTCTCCTTGGGCCTGACCCAGGATCTGGGACAGAGGATGGCCCCGGTTTGAACACAGAATCCAGCCTGGGACGCTCTGCAGGACAGAGATCATAGATAAAAGTAGAGGCGAAGGCTCCATGCTCTCCCCGCGGCGCGCAGCCACCCACGCCCACCCCCAAACCAGCTCCCAGGGCCAGGCAGGCCGTAGGACCCAGAGGAGCCCGCCTGACATTTCCGCTCCCGAAGACAAGCCCCCCAACTCCTCCCCTCTGCCCCGTCCAACCCCAAACCCACCCCAACTTTCGAAGCACTGAGCCTCGGACCCCAGCCCCAGGACAGCGGCCAGCCAGCCTTCGGGCGGGACTCGCCTCCGGACCGTGCCACGCCTGGACAGCCGAAGAAATGAAAGTGGAAGCCAGGCGGGCGGGGTGCGCGGCGGGGCCGCGGGGGCACAGCGCACACTCACGGGTCCGCCTCTGGCCTCGGGTCACATTCCCGGCCACAGGGTCGCCCTTCTCCTGCCAGTGCCGTGCCTGTTCTTTCGCCCGTCTGCCTGTCCGTCCGCCTCTCCTGCCGGCCGCGGCCGCCCTCCCGCCCGAGGCGACGCCAGCTCCGCCCCAGCCCCGCCACGCCGCGGCCACGGGGCGGGGAAAGGGGACTCCCCTCCACCCCAGTACACAGACGCGCTCGCCCCCGCCTTCCCGTAAAGTCCATATTGTGCTCCCAGCTTCCCCTCGGACAAAGGACTAACTGAGCTGCCCGCCCTCTCGGTGCTTCCTTGGACCTCCACCAACGAGGCAGCCTCAGGTTCCCAGACTGTAAAATGGGAAAAAGTTAGGCTCCTTCTGGAGCAGAAACAAGAGGTGCTAGAGAGGGTGGTTCCTTCGCCCTCCAAGTGGGTCACACTTGTCCCTGGACCCAATAAGGGATGGAGACTGTCCTATCCACTTCCATATCCTCAGCTCCTTGTATAGCAGGAACTCAGAACCCACTTGAATGAATGAATGAATGAATAAGTGAAGGAATGAATGAATGCCTTGGGAATCATGAATGATTTAAGTCCGTCACCCCTGAGGGACAGGCACAGAAGAGCGCTCAAATCACAGACTTCATCTCCTCAACCAGGGAGGGGGCCTTGCTCAGGCTGGGCTGATTCTCCTTGCTCCTCACCGAGTCACTCTATTTCTTACCTCCAGACCCTTATCCCAGCTGTTCCATTTTAGAATACCTTCTTTCTCTCCTTCCTTCCAATCAAATCCAAACCACTCAAGATCTGATCTGCTCTCCCTACCACCTGGGTTCCTTCGAGGACAGACAGATATCCCACCAGCATTCAATGCACATTGTGGCCCCCAGGCCCAGGGACCAGTTGGCTGCTCTGTCTGGAATGAATGAGTGAGTGAGTGAAGGAATGAATGAATGGAGGGAAGATTGGAGGCCTTCTACGGTAGGAAGCCCAAAGCAGACAGCTGAGTTGTAGAAGCCACTCTGGAGGAGTGGGAGGTGAATAGATGCAGGTAGGGGAGAGCTGGAGGCCAGAGGTGGGCTTTTACCATGGCACACGGGACTCTCTTTGTGTTTGGACCTTCTGTTTGCTGATGAGAACACGCTAGATCCTTAATCCAGATCATATCCCTTGCAGCAACAGGGGTTGGAGCTGGAGGCTATTATCCTAAGCAGACTAACACAGGAATAGAAAACCAAATACTGCACATTCTCACTTATAAGTAGGAACTACACAGTGAGAATACGTGGATACTAGTAGAGGAACAGCAGACACTGGGGCCTGCTTGATGTTGGAGGTTGAATGGAGGGAGAGCATGAGAAAAAAATGCCCATCAGGTACTATGCTGGTTACTGGGTGATGAAATTATCTGTACACCAAGTCCCCGTGACAGAGTTTATCTATATAACAAACCTACACATGTACCCTTGAACCTAAAAGTAAAAAAAGAATCCCAGCTCACAGAACTGTGGATACGTTCTTTTGTTAAGCACTATTTTTTGCCCCAGTCTAAAGTTTGTATTTTTATGTCTGACTTTTTTTGTTGTTGTTGAGATGGAGTCTCTCTGTTGCCAGGTGGTAGTGCAGTGGTGTGATCCCGGCTCACTGCAACTTCCGTTTTCCAGTTTCAAGCAATTCTCCTGCCTCAGCCTCCCAAGTAGCTGGGATTACAGGCACGTGCCATGACACCTGGCTAATTTTTTGTATTTTTAGTAGAGATGGGGTTTCACCATGTTGGCCAGGATGGTTTTGATCTCTTGATCTCGTGATCTGCCTGCCTCGGCCTCCCAAAGTGCTGGGATTACAGGTGTGAGCCACCATGCCCGGCCTTATGTCTGACTCTTAACTCTCTGCCCTGAATCCTCTATAAACAAACACTTGCTTATGGAATTAAATTAAGCAAATTAAAATATGCTTCTTTATTTATTTGATATCCTAATCAATATCTTTCATCGAGTTCGACTCTCCACTCCTATCTGATCAAGGGATTGGGTGATAAAGCTGAGCTGGCCGTTGACGTCAGGTGCTGACAGGTCAGTAGAGGGGACACCACACAGAGATACACAGGTCAGAGCTCAGTCACCCAGAAGTGAGAATGTGGTTGTGGACTGAAGGACTTTGGAAGAGTGGGGGTATTTGCAGGAAACACATGGAACACCCAGAATGGATATGTTTAATGAAGACATTATTTACAGGTATGGTCAAGGTGTAGGGAAACCACACAGACAGTGTATCACCAAAGGGCTCACAAGAGTAGAGGCTGTTAACTCTAGGCTGCAGGACTGCAGGGAAGGAGTGGTGAAAGTGGGAGCTCTGAGGAGGGGGCTGCTGTGGCCTAAGGTGGAGGGGCATACCCAGCCCTCAGCAATCACACAGAGAAGGATGGGGGCAAGTAAGAGACCTCCCTCTCCTCCCTCTGATCTCTGGCCAGGTTTCCCCCACTAGCTGAATCCTCCCAGAAGCTGAGAACAAGGGAACCTGTTGCTGCAGCCATAGATGTCAGCCTCCTAGGGTGTAGAAATGGGTGGAGGGCCAGGCACGGTGGTAGGCCAAGGTGGGTGGATCACGAGGTCAGGAGTTCAAGACCAGACTGGCCAACATGGTGAAACCCCGTCTCTACTAAAAACTACAAAAATTAGCTGGGCGCGGTGGCAAGTGCCTGTAATCCCAGCTACTTGGGAGATCGAGGCAGGAGAATCGCTTGAACCCAGGTGGCAGAGGTTGCAGTGAGCCGAGATCGTGCCACTGTACTTTAGCCTTGGCGACAGAGTGAGATTCCATTTCAAAAAAAAAGAAATGGGTGGGGGGTGGAGAGCCATCTGAGGAGCCATGTGGGCTCAGGGCTGGCTTCACAGAGGAAATGATTTAGAAACTGCTTGTATTTTCCTTATCGTTCAGTTCTAAATAGTTCATACATTTCATTGTAATTTCCTCTTTAACTCTTGAATGATGTAGAAGTGTGTTTTTTAGTTTCTCAACCTATGGGAGATGTATGTTTTTCTTGTTGAGTTCTAATTATATTGCATTGTGGTCAGAGATCATGGTCTGTAAGATTCTTCGGAATTTGATGTGACTTCCTCTGTGGTTTTGTGCATGGTCATTTTCTGGACCTCTGAGCTGGGTTTTATAGGATAGGCAGGAATTTTTCTGGTGAAGAGTGAACAGCACAGAACCTTACACTGTGGGAAATAGAGATGATCCATTTTGAAGAAACATCAGAAATTCCCAGCTCATCCTCAGAGTCCCTGGGTATCTGCAGGACAGGAGGCAGGTGGAAGGGGTGGGGAAAGCCAGAGAGCCCAGATGTCTCAATTACTTG